CTTTTTTGACCTTCTTCTGGGGCTCCCACTGCCCCTGAAATGACTCCTCACAGCTACCACCACCAAACTCATTCCCACCTGTAACCAGCATCCTGTGACACTGCTCTGCCTCTGGCCTTGAGTGCTCTGCTTTTCTGGGTTATTGTTCTGACTGGTTCAGATGAGTTACTCCAAACATGAACTCAACAGCTTTTTAAATATATATCTCAAGTGACAGGTGAATATTTCACACTCTTTACTTTAACAAGGTCTCATACGATCTGTCACAACAATGCCTTAATAAATGTTAAATTGGTGACAGACATGTAGAAGCCAATTCATGTTAACCACACTTTTCAAACAGGACTGGTCAAAGCCTGTCAGAGCAATAACATTTTGAAAACATATCACTTAACATTTAATCATTCAACTAGTCATCATTAAGGCAGAACCATCAGCCACTTCGCAATGGGAACTATAGGAAATCACAGAACGACTCATCTGTATGGAGTAGAAAAAAATTATAATTTGACCATGGCCTCCTAAACATTTTCTGACACTGAAAAGAGGGCAGGCTGCTGTATGATCACCCATGGCAAGGACTTCTGTGTCCTCCTTTGTCCACACAGGATGCAGGACACAGTGTAAGGACAAGGCCTTGTTTTAGATAGATAATTGTGCTTTCCCACTATGACAGAATTCAAATACTTAGCATGTTTCAAATGTTATGGTTTGGTCTCATCATTAGTTTTTTGCTGCTATTATGTATTCATTTATGAATTTAATTCTCTTTTTATATACTTAAGTAGCTCCAAGAAGAGTGAACCTCAAGGAACACACACTGAAGAAGTCAGCACAGAATCCAATCCAATGCACATCAAAGGAAAAAAATTCTGAATGTTTTGGTCCCATCTCTAAAAAAAGGTTTTAGATCTCTGACAGATGTTAGTATTCAATTCACATTTCGTGTTCAAACCTGCACTTTGAAAATTTACCTCAGCTTTGCCACAGACTTCAGTAGCCCAGATCTGGGCACTGTTGACCAGATAGAGTGGACTCAAACGTGACACCATGTCTGGATTACAGAATGGTCTGCCCCATGTGCCACACACTGATGAAGTACAACATATCCACTCCATGCTTGAATGATCCTTTACCACAAAACCTATTACTGTGGTTGTAATTAATACTGAAGAGGAGCAGGAAACTTTCTCTGCATCCAGGAGTCATTTTTTCAACGTGCTTTCTTAAGGAATGAGGCTGATGTGATAATGCTGCTTTTTGTGTACATCCCACCGTTAACTTCTGAGCCCTCTGGTGAATTATGAACAAATTTAATACACAGAGAAATTTCCAGTAAGATGCATGTGTTCAGTGAGGAGAGGATTGCAATCTGAACTCAAATTTTATTAGACATTATAAAAACTATCTCATACATAGCAAGTATGAATGTCCCAAGCATGGAAAATGCTTCATTTAGAACATGCACCCACAGGTCATTTAATAGCAATGTGAGACAGAAACCATCATCAATTAGTAATGCTACACCCTGCACTACAGATGCCTACCTGTCACTGAAAATCTTCTTATGAAATCTACAGCATCATTTGTGGTACTAGACTTTATGTGCAGGATTGACTGTTTTAAAATGCTTATTGTAAATATTTTATATTGCTCTCAACCTGATAGCACAGTGACAGGGAATGCTAGGCATTCAGGATGCCCTGGAGGGATGAAAATAAATGACAGCTCTCACCCTAGTGCTGTCCTTTGAAGGGACCCTACTTAGCCAGACAATGGTATGGGACAATTGTGTTTAAACCCCAAGAGAGTTTTTGGAGTGTCATCCACAGGAGCCTTGATGAGTGCAGAAGTAATTAGTTCCACATGAGTGCACAGGCACATAACCTTAGAAAAGTCTGGCTGCTTCATGTTAGGAGAGAAAGGCATTTCTGCCTAGCAGCCAGGACAACATGGAAAGAGGAGAAGGACCTTCTTCATTGGTTTGGTGTCCAGCTATGTGTGTGTTTCAGAGCTGAAGGATGGAATTGCTCTCACTGCCTGTGAAAATTATGGGTTTGTGTTTGCTGGATAGCTGAAAAATTCCCATGAAATACTATGCAAAAGTTTCTCAGTTTCACAGGGCAGTCCTCTGAGGTTGCTGCTTAGCAGCCCAAGACTTGGCTTTCCTGCAGATGTTCACAGTGTGCCAGACAGTTCCCAGGAGCATGCATAAAGCTCTCTTGGGAGGCTTTCCTGAAACATCTAATCTAAACACCAGTATTGCTGCACTTTTATGTATATCTTTGTGTGTTCTGGCACCTGATAAAAACTCCATTATTTTCAATGAGTGTGTGTCACCTGGTGATACCTCAGCTTCCTCTGAGGAGGTGCTTTTGCAGAGTTCATCCTTAGGTTATATATGGGCTACTTTTTTTTTTCCCAGAAACTCCAGGAAAGACATCTGAAAAACACTCATGTGCATCTTGTTTGGATTTCTTCCCACTACACAAGGTATTAGCTAAAGCCCAGCTGTTCTCAGAGAAGTGACAGCTCAGCAGCTGAACTCCTGTTGTGCAGAGAACAGTAAAAACACTAAACAAATGCCAAGTATTGATGGAGCAGCTACAGGTTCATTGTTAAAAGGACCACTACTGACTACTAAATGCCATCAGATGGTTAAGGACAGCCAGTTGTGGTTTAGTGGCTCCTCTTAGGATCATGGGAAACGAACTTGTAAAAAGCATCAGAGATTCACTACATTGCTTTGTTTTTAACTAGCCACAAAGGCATTTAACTGAGCACGCCAGAGAGTGGGCTCTCTGATACAAATGGTTCTGGCTGAGCAAGACACACTTGCTGCAGTCTCTCTGACAGAGAAAATAATTCCATCCGCTTGGCTGCTTGGCCCTTGGTGTAGGTTACATGGGTATGTTTTCTGCAGTCACAGTGGGGTCCTGCAGTTTATCACAAGCTTCTAGAAATTTTATATGTCCATAGTCACTGCACACAACCACCTTAATCACTATTGCTGAGATTCAAATGTGTGGTGAAATGGCAGTGCTTTCTGGATCAGTATGATCTAGAGTGGAAGGATTCTACTTTTTTAATATTTAAATTTAATGCCTGTTTTTAAGAAATTTACTGAGCACTGTGATGATTCTGCAATAGAGAGTCAAACAAGACCATTTCTTGCATACTATAAACATAAACTTACATTTAACTATAATTAAGCTGCAAATGTTGCCATGTTAATGGCATTGTGGATAGTGTGTGAGAGACAATGTTTTTTAAAGAAACTTTTTGGCTCTTACTTATACCTTTTCTGCTTGGGATGATGATGGAAGAAATACTCAATTCTGTGCTCACAGATCCATTCATGCAAGCATACCACAGAAGACAGAAGCAGTACTTCTTTCTAATGCTAATGGAACAGTCCTTGCTTTCCAGCTGGTTTTGGTAGACTATGGAAAAGGATGCTCAGTGCTGCAGATCTGATGACACTGACATGCTTCCCTACCACAAACCTTCCTACCGTGTTGAACAGTATAAATTAAACCTTCATCCATGGCTTCCCAAGTGCAAGGGAAGCCATCAATGTACTCACTGAATGGGCTGCCATGTGCTTTAGTGGCAGGAGCCAAAGCAGCAGTGTGCACAGCACAGAACAAGTTAATGTTCAATGGACTGGCCCCAGCTACCACTTTACGCCGGCGCTGGCCTAACCTGCCGCTTCTGGGTGAGCCAGCATCCATCTTTCCTGGACTTGCAGTGCTGCTTCGAGAGCACAAATCAGTCCCTATCTACTGATACACCTCTGTCAAGTTGAAAAGGCAACCACTGTTTTTCCCCCTCCCTTTATTTTTTCCTCAGAGTGCCTAAATCAGGCCTGACATGAAAAAGACTGGATAATCTTGGTCACACACAGTCAGTTTTATACTCTGGGTAAAGCACAAAACCATGTCCTTGCATACGCTGCTCATTGGAAAGTACAGCCTGAACACAGTGTCCTTTCCAATCTGGGAATTCTGGGAAGCACTGCTGGGACAGGAGATGGTACCTGCTGAAGACCTTGCCATAGGAGAGAGTGGTGAGAGCCTGTATCAATGCAGTGGATTCAAAAGTCCCCCCCAAAATGCTCAGATGGCTCCTATCAAGTTGACACTAGGTGAGCACCTGTATCCAAGTCCTCCATTTGGCTCAAAAGCAGAAGACATTTCTTGGGAAGTAAGTCCACAGTGTTTGTGTCAAACAGGTGCTTTGGTGCCCTCTTCTCATCACTTGTATGCTCATGAAAATCTCTAAAATATGTATGCTAATTTCTTCACCTCCCAAGCAACAGATCAAAGCCATTTTGCATACACACATTTTTAGCTAAGACTACCATGTTTTTAAGTCATTAAAATGTAACTGCTCTTGTTCTCATCTAGCTATAACAGCCAAAAAACACAGGATGCTTATTTCAAACCACACCGACAGTATCAAATAATGAGCAAATAGCTATTGCTGTGTATGAAAAATGCATCACTTCTGTTCAGAAAGGAATTCTAAAGAAGAGCTTAGAAACAACCTGATTCTTATTCATATTTACAGTAGTGCCTCCAAGATTATTTAAATAATGTCTTCATTCCTTCTATTCATAATGTTTTGGAACATCGTGTGCTGCAGGCCAAAACACTGAACTTAGAACATATGTAAATGTGAATGGCATTTTACCTGAGTGACAAGAGGAGTTCCTGTGACTCTGGGAGCCAGCCAGCTGGCACACTGCACTGAACTGCATATGCAGATGAGGAGTATTTTCTGTATTATTTGTGTGCAACAGGTAGTAATTCAGTGAGGAAAAAATTTTACAAAATTACCTACTTTTTTAAAGTTTCCCAGTTTCCCTTTTAATCAGCTCTACTCATGTCTTTTTTGTAATATCCAACACTTACAAAAGAAAAAAAAAAAGGGAAATATAAGACACATCTAATCAAAATAATTAAGCAGTATATTTTTGCTTAGATTTGGACACTTACCTATAAGCAGGATTACTAATATGTCTGTAATGTAATAACCAAGCAGCAAAGGCTTCTGCCAGACTTCCACACCAACAGCACTGGTAAGCAGATATGCTGCTATTAATACCTATAGAAGAGGTATTAATAAGTAAAAACAAATAAAAAATAATGTATTGTCAGTCCTCTACTTCTAAAGGCACAGAATTTCACTTATCATCTTGATACAAACGCAAAAGCAAAAAAATTACGCAGAATTATTTAAAATGTATGAAATACAGTAAGCAAGCAACTTCCCTCTAATACGTGCATCTGTTGCATGTGGTAAGTATTATTGACTTACCTTTTCAAAATACCTAAGTTCTAAATCCCTTCTAAATGCCACGTCTCCCCACTGCACAAGCACTTTCTTGGTTTTGGATACAGATTTCAGAATTAGCAACGGGGTTATTTTTGCAGCTCAGCCCCCTGAACTGATCATATCAGAATAACTGAGACGGGAGAAAAACTCCTAAGCTCAGCTGAAAGAATTACAAAAAAATCACTTGAATGTGAAGAAATAAAAAGGAGAGGGAGCTGAAGTCTTCCCTGATTTTTAATTTGTTTGACAGATAACATCATTATAGGAGACAAAAAGAAACACACAGTCAGATGTCATTAGGAGTGAAAGGACGCATACATGAGACTCACAAGTCACTTGCTGAAGTGCCACCAGTTTCAGTAGAGATGTAAATGTAGTTTCCACTCTCTCTTCAGAGTTAATTTTGTGACCCAGCTGAGGTTAGAAATCTTAATGCAGCCAAAACCCTATAGCTCCTACAGCAATACCTCTCACATGCACCTGCAGCAGCACCACCTACAGCTCATGGCACAAACTGATAAAGTTTTAACATTTCAGATGTGTAACATGCAAATGCAGCACTGAGTGTGATGCAGTGATTCCCAAACCCTTGTGCCCTTCACCCCACCTCTCCAAGGGACCCCTCTTTCCCTTGAAACCCATTTCCTTGCTTATCCCAGGCCACTCACCCCCTGCAGCCCCTTCTGCTGCCAGCACCCAGCTAGCAGGACTGCTGCCCTGCTCTTTCTCTAGGCTGTTTTGTTCTTAGCTGTTCAGTTTTCCCCTAGGGCCCATAAGAGGCTGTATGTTTCATGCTACACTTCAGCTCTAAATCAAAATGACAGTGTTAATTATAATGCCATTTAGAAAACTGCATATTCATCTATTTATTCCCGGCTAACATTTAGTAACCTTTATATTTTTCATTCAATACAGCCTCTTACTCTGGGATGACAAATGTTTTTCAGCTTTACTTGTATTATAGATTTTACCATGTATTATTTAGTTTTTTAAATACTTACTTTTTACTATGCTATGTGTTTTCTTCATTTTAACATCAACAAATAAATTTCCAGTCTTTTATTAAATTAAATGCTTTAACTTTAGGATACACTGAAAATCTCTTTTTTAAATAACAGGCTGCTTAAGATCACAGATTAATAGCAGAACACTGCTGGCACTTAAACTCCCTATTACACGTGGATAACACTATATTTGACTTCACTTACTTCTCTATATCTAAATTCTTGCCCTATCAGTATGTAGCTCTTTAAGAGTTTTGCCTGGATGTTTGAATTTGCCTGTGCAAGAACAAGCAGCACAACAGATCTGCGACAGAGAAAAGGAGGTGCTAGTGAGTGTTACATCTTGAGCCACTGAAGACAGTGAGTTAAATTTTGGTCTAAATGAAGGACATGTATAACGGGTTTTGCAATCCACTACATCAGAGCTAACATTTGGCTTTCTGAAAAAATTGTATTATGTTATCCATAAGACATGACGGATGGAATCATGACCCCATCAAAGTTGATGGCAAAACTCCAACTGGCTTTGATGGAGACTGAATTTACCCTCGCATGTTGAATCCTGAACAGACTATTTTGGCAAGTGATAAAAAAGGAACATCAGTATTATCCGTTATTGCAGTCAATACTTTTGGCAGGGCAGCCATGAGCATCACTGTCAGATGTCAGCACACATCCAGGAACAGGAGTGTGGATGCAGTGAGTTCTCTCAGGGAATGCCCTGGGATTTGGTGATGCAGCACTCGCAGATTGAGTCTGCCTCTTATTTAACAGATGTAGCATATGAAAAAACACTCTTTGGCTTCAAATTTTTGGTGTGTTGCTTTTTAAGGACTCGTCACTTTGACTTCACCGAGGCAGCCTCAAAGACCTCTGTTAGAAAGCTGGAAGGATGTGAAATTGGCTGTGTCCCTTAATCTAAGCTATATTAGCAAAAAGTAAGATTGTCAAAATTATTGGCTAAAGCTAAGTATGTTAATCAGCTGTATAAACTGCTTTTGAAGGCACTGTTGGTAAAAAAAAATAAATAAAAATCAATGTAAAGCAGTGTCCCTAAGTGCAAATGAATAATTCTTCTTAAGATGACCAAGTTTTTTACTTATCTCTCTGCCATCAATCAGCTTTAGTACTTTTCAGATATAAATGTAGTCATTAGCAAGTAAAAATAATTGCAGTCTTTGGTAAATTGAGAAGTCCAAATTAAGTAATACAAGTGAGGACTATATAGCAAGGTAGTGCCAGACATATACAATCTTGGATTTCAACTCACTGCAGCATCTGACCAGGAACATTTTTGGCTTGCCAAGGCCTTATCTGTGAGGATGAGGAGTACTTATGCTGAGAAAATTCTGGAAATACAAGGTGTTAATTTGTAGGCCTTTTGATATGGCTAGCAGCAGGACAGTTGCCTTCTGAGGAGACTCCCTGTCTTGTCACAATTTTATAATACACAGTAACATAGACACCTTTCCTCCTCTGCAAAATCAGAATAGTTCTTTGATGTGGCATTGGGAAAATTCTATATAATCATAAGGCATTATAACCCCTCAAAGTCTTCTAATTTCTAGTCCTTTAACTGTTCTCTAAAATATTTAATTTTTTTAAATCACCACCTCTTACATGTGTTTCCAATACTACAGGTGTAAGTTTTGTGGCCACAATATTCTAGACTGTGTGTGTACATACATTTTTTTTCTCCTACATGATTTACCATTTCCACAGGCACATTTAGTATGCTGTGTGATATTCTACACAGTGGGAAACAAAATCAAACATTTTCTCATATTTTTTAAAAAATGTGGATGTGTTCTTAAATTCTTTATGACTCCACAAAAAATGGCATTAATTTTACTGTAATATTCAGTTTCACTAGCATATTGCTATAGCATTAATTGTTCATGTGTTGAAATATTTTCCATTAACACAGTGCTCAAACTGAACATCTTGAAAGCAAAGACATTTAAAATACAAGGTTACTTTTTCTTCTCAAAATAAATGTGACACTTGCCTAAAAGAGCACAACTGATTACCTACAAGTGATTTCAGTAGGAGTTAGCTTTAACACGATGTGCAATTTTTCCATTTTAATTTTTTCTCAGTCTTTTTTCTTTCAATAAATAGTTGAAGGTGGAAAATTTAGCCTATAAAAAGTTTTTCTTAAAAAGATCACTCTGCATTTAGACATGATAGGTAAGCAGTTAAAGGCACATGGAAGATTAATTAACCAAGAAAGGTTTGCACAGAATCATAATCAAGTGGTTAAGAATGAAGCAATCAACTGCTGCATAAAGAGCCTGTGCACAGCAGGCTCTTCTGTTTAAATTTCACATGGGTACACCATGGGGTTTCCCTCAGATAACTGAGTATTGAGATCAGTTTACAGCTACATCTGGAAGCAGCTTGAAGCAGACACCATGGTCTGGGCAGAACTGCTTCCACACTGCTATCCGTTCTGCCACACCCACAGTTTCAGTGTGCTCCTACCTTTGGAACCAAATAATAATAATATTTTATCACAAGTAAGACTATGCTTTCCACAGACACTTCAAATCTGAAAAACTGTGAAAGTGAATATCTTTTTAACTAAAATTAAATTGTGAATCCTAGTAATGTGACCAAAGAACAAGATATTTGTGTCTTTATTTTGTTTTTTAATAGATAACTTTTTGCCCCTCAGAAAAGGTAGAAATTTTTTCAATGCAAGTGATGTGCACTTGCATTGCTTGGGATTTCTCTGCCAGTTCCTAAAACGCTGGCTGCCACAGTACATCCCAAGAATAGGTCATATGAAACATATTTCAGCATGAGTTTTATAAAAAGCTTGTCAAAAAACCCCTGGTATAGGGCATCCAAACAAAAAGCCTTCCCCTGCTTCAACTCAAAGGAAGAAGGAAAGGAAGTTCTACAATGTTTCAGTTGCTGTCTGCATCATGGATTTCATTTATTCAGAGTTCCAAGGCAGGCAGAGTGTTCTCCCTGAGACTACGTGGTACTGTCCAAAGTCCTCTGGCAGAAGCAGCTGTGAAAGCATCTTAAACTGAAAACCTGGAGCTCATGGTCCAAGCACCCATCCCTTCAGGCATACAGAGGATTTCTGGTCATCCTCTCCTTACAGGGCAAAGGCTGGGCCAGCGAGAGCTGCCTGTTGCCTTTCACATTTTGCTGCTTGTGCTGCTTTTAAGCTTGGCCTCATAGCTGGGGAGAGGGAGAGGAAGGAGAGTGGAATCGTCTGAGTCACTCCAGCTCTCATGCAGCTTTTCTTTTCACTTTTAAACTTTTATTTAAGAATATAAAGGCCACTTCCCGTTACACTTAAGGCAGCACCAATGGAAGCAGAAGTATCATTACATCATATAAGGGAAAAATGAGTATTTTGTTCCCCTACTATGAATTCACTGCAGTGGCTTAGGAAAAGCAACAGCAGGATTAGGGGAGTATTTCATTAGGGGAATATAAAATTTTTCAGGAGCAAAATAGATTTATTTTTTTTTTAAATCAGGAAGATGTCTGTGAAAATTAACATATGGCAAGAAGCCTGAAGTTTTAATTTCCCAGGGAAGTTTTGTCTTTTTTTTTTTGTCCAAGAAACTTAATTTGCAGATATTAACTTTTTTTAGTTGGGTTGTGAGAAAAACAAAAGTCTTTGTCTTCACAAGATGTATCCAAGAGAATTTCTCACAGATTATAGCAGAGGTTTATTTTTCAACCTTTTCTTCAGACCATAATTCTTGGGGTTTCCAACAGGTATGCTTACTCAAAAGTGTATGAAAATTGTCTGGAGGCTATGGTACAGAGGCTCTTCTCCCTGTATCTTTTTCTGCTCACTCAGGAGTCAGCATGAGATAGCTCCTTGTGCTGGAGAGAGGCGAGAGGGTAAGGGTTTTCCCTGCTGCAGATGCCTCCTCCTTGATTCTGGATCAAAAAACGTAACAGCATGGCCAAGCATCTCTCAGACACATTACAACCAGTTTTCAAGTTTACAAACCACAGCCTCCTGTAAATGGCTGTCTGCTGTAATCAAAGCTAATTGGAGTGCCAATTACAGCCCAGATAGAGTAATTGGGTTACCAGTTGGGATGAGTCATCAAGTCGCAGAAAAATGTGATCTGTGTAAATCCCACAAATTTCTCTATTCATAATGAGGTATTTTTTCATGAGGAACAGCAGCTCTTTTTATACCACATTTAAGGCAGAGCATGTGAGTGGGCTGTCTGTGTTTATATAGAGTGGAGCTGACTCAGCAGCAGTGTCCTGGGAGCCACATGCCAATTCAGTTTTCATTAAGGTCAACAGTTACCTATTTGCACACTTATACTAACTACTCTTATTTCTTGAGTTTTGGGGTGATAATGAAGCCCAAAGTTCTTTGCTACCATCAAATTTAAAAGCAGAAGCAGGGGACTAGACCACCTGAGTGTCTGACATGCCAATGCAATAGCACCACATTGTCAGTGAAATTAATGAAGACAGAACAGAGAGGCACATTCCTGCAGCAATCCAGCTAGGAATGCCATGGAGGAAATTGTGAACCAAGCACTGGGAATCAGTCTGAAAGCAGCCTGCGAGTGCTTCCACACTCTCTGCCTCTAAATGTGACTGTGGGAATATCCGGCAGAGAAGCAGTGGGAAAAAAAAAAGCAAGAAGAGCATTACCTTTCTTACTTATCATCAGCCATTTGCTATTGTCCCCAGTATCTTCTCCACTAAGTAACTGGAGACGAAGAGCTACCTTTAATAGTGCACACATCATACAAAATTTGCTGAATTGGTTTACAAAACAAGAGCAATTTTTTAGGAGAGTTATGATCTTTTACTAGACTAGTTAGTACAGCTGAGAAAAAAAACACATTATATACTTCCTGGTGTGTGTGAAATGTAGTTTGGACTAATAGAAAAATACTACCTCGACCTACAAATTCTATTTTGTCTTTGTTCATAGGCAATCACAACTACAAAAGCTATTTTTTACAGATGGGAAAACTGACATACAGAGATTTCAATAGTACAGTCTTCCACCACTGTTGATGACTGTGCTAAATAGCATCAAAAAAATTCTGACATTTACAGGCTTATCACTTTGACCATAGCCAAATCATCACAGAAGTTATTAGAAAGCAAGTGTGCAGGACAGCAATCCAGCATCAGAGGCAAACAGGAAATAGCACTTGTTAGCACCTTGCATCCCAGTTAATCAAAGCAGTTTACAAACTTTACTGATATCCAGCCTCACCACAAATCTGTCAGGCAGGGAAATGTTATTAGCATTATTCCCCAGATGGAAAAGCAGTGCCAGGGGCATAGGTCACTACCAGCACTGACACAGTTAACAATACTTCTCTGCCACTTGATACCCATTCCCATATTTAAACACTAATAGGGTTCGGATGCTGAAGCAATCCAGCAGAGCTTTCTAACCATTCACATATACACCGATCATCTGACCAACAAGTGGAATTGCTTTGAACATAGCTATTTCTCTCCTGCTGGAAGAACTTCACCAAGAAGCCTTATACAGACATGGCTGAAACTTGCAGACCAGCTGGCTGCCTAATGTCTTAATACTGAGCCAACTTCTTCTCCCAGAACGTATTTTGTAGGGGATGACACAGATGCACCACAGCTGGACCACCATCTCTGAGTTGTTCTCAAACCACTGGATTCTGATTATGTTTACAGCAACACATCTGCAGCCATTAATTCAAATACTATATTTCCATTAAAACACATATTTGAGTATTTGTCAAACTTCTTTTCAATTATGTATATTTGGCTGTACCTTTCATCTCATGCCTGTGACAGGAAGCTCAGAAGACTGTGACTGCTCTTCAGTCTGCAAGAGCTTGGCTATGTAAGAAACAAATAAGCCAGCCCAAAAATCCAGTGCTGGGCCCTTGGAAGTGCACCGAACTTGTTACTCCTGCTACTTATTTGTGTACTGTGGACACCACTCACCGTGGTGCCCTGGGCATGTTTCTGAAGAGGTCCACCTCAAGGTAAGGCTGTAAGCCAGTCAAGAACTCAGCTGGGGCTGACTGTGGACTGATACATAATTCATGTTACTGAATGTCACTCCCTATGACTTTTTGACATCCATTATATGACTGACTTTTTTTCAAGGGTAGAAATTCACTTTACAACAGTTAATGTTCTCTGTATAGTTACAATGTTGTTTCCATCACCACACTTGTAAAACAGGGTAGAATTGAGAAGGTCTAGCAGTGTATAACTACATAATTACTATTAGTGGATACTACTTGGACTACTTCACATCACGTCTCAGAACCCAGTGTTGGGGGGGAAATTGCTTACGGCTTCAGATAGCAAAATAATTTTTGTTAACACCACAAATCAAATGCAGTTAAACGACATTCTCAGAGGCACTATCTGGCTGCTAGGCTTGCTGCAAGTCTTTTTTCTCCTGCAAGGCAATGAATCTCTGATGCTGACAATTTGCTTAAGAGCATCCCTTCACTGCAAATGCAGGAAATGTTTCTGAATTACTTTTAGGGTTATGCAATTTTACATATTTCAAGGACTCAGCCAAATATATTTGCCTTGAGCACTATTTTTCTATTTCTTTAATATTATGAAAGCAATTATATATTTAAGAAAATAAAGCCAAAACAGAAATGATAAATACTTACCACTTGGCTTATATCATATCCCCAAGGAAGAAAAAGAACTCCTGTGTTATATTTCTCCCAGTGTGAACACATGAAGTTAAACAAGACAATGCTTAAATATATATACATTGTATATACAGAAACTCCAGTCTTCCCATTGTCACGGGAACAGACAGAAAAAAAGGAAAGCACAAAAATGGAGGTAGCCCAGCTATCCAGTCCATGGTCAAATAGTTCTCCTAGAGGAGTACTGGACTGAGTCCTTCGAGCATGTTTGCCATCTATGGAGTCTGGAAGGATTGGGAAAGAAAAAGAAATGAAAATTTAGAGCACAACAAAAGGAGTAACTTTCTTCACATACACTGCACTACTGCCATATATAACGCATGAGAAAATTACAATGACGACTGAAGCACAACAGCCTCCTCAATACTAACGATTAGGATTGCTCATAAAATACTTGTTTCAGTTATCAAGCAATTTTTCTGTCCTTACCTCAGCTCTGAAGCTTTAATGCCACCTTTCTTATGAGCTTTAGAAAGACATTCAAAATTACTTGCCCCCAGTGGTCTTGAAATGCTTTAATGTCAGTCCCTGCAATCAGTTTCAAGTGCTGAAAAGTGTCCATAGGGCTTCTCACCCATCCATTGGTGTTGGGCACCCTCTGAGCCTTCAAACCACTCGTGAGGTAGACTGGGGACATTGTTTAGTGGTGGAATTGGTAGTGTTGGGTTAATGGTTGGACTTAGCGATCTTCAAGGTCTTTTGCAAAATGTATTATTATATGAATCTAAAAATACATTATAGTTAAGGTGCATTACACGTTGGTTGATCACTTTTAATACTTGAGTGCTTGAAAAACGGTCCAATACTGCACTGGATCTCACTCTGAAGATGCAGTTGGACAATATGGTTTGAGTTGATCTGATAATTCACTGCTGTTGAACAGGGACACCTGCAGCCTGTTCAGCTGGTGGAAAGAGAGTAAACATTATGTTTTCTTCTGTGTCACTAATAGATTTGGTGTTATGAATAGTACAAAAACCAAGGGAGATAGCACAAGAGAGGGGTGGTGAATGCAGGCAGGAGGAAGGGGATCAAGTGGTTGTAACCTTTCTTAGTTGTGTTGTCAAACCATACCCTTAGCCTCTTCTCTGAGATTGTGCTGCTGAAAAATATTTTCCTCTTAAAGTTAAGTGTAAAGACGCAGAATGAATCTCTTAGGAAAAAGTACGCAGAACAAACCTTACAGATTACTTACTATTGTCTTGAATCTCAAAATAAAATGGAGAGTTTTTTTCTTTTTAATGTTACTTGGAAGGTAAAGCAGTTATTAGCTATTGATAGCATTAATAACGCAAAACTGACTAGAGATACGACTCAGCAGAGTGAGACCAAAGACTCCACAGCTGCTATAGATCATATGCTACTTACTTCGCCAGATTATTTGTCATTACTCTGAGTTTTGTTTAATGTAAATACACTTTAGGGACCTAAACTGGGAAAACATGGGATTTCATTTTGTACAGTTTTTAGACTGTCTCTCTATTGTAATACCTAAACAGCTGTGAGATATCCTCCACTCAAATACAAATCTCTTGAGACAGTTCTCACAACTCTAAAATTAAATATCTCAAAGAGGATTTCAAATATAGCTTGCCCCTTTCTAGAGACACTTTCTTTCTCTATTAACATTACCACTGAATTTTCAACATCTTACTGAAATGTGCAGAAAGAAAACTATATATAAGCTTGAGGTTAATTGAATGGTGTTACTATAACTGTAGAAATTCTTCCATCCAGTAAAGAACATTTCTGAAATTTAATTAGCAAATAAGTATATTATCAACCCTAAACAGTTTATGGTCTTTTATACTTCAAGAATACCTATCCAAAATAAGAGAGAATTCAGTTACACAGGTAATACTTTTAAAAATGAGAACGTTAGAAGATTTTTCTGTTCATAAATTATTTTAAGTTGTCACAAAAGTGACATTAGATAGTAAAATATGTACATCACAGAGAAGAAGTGGTTTTCATTTTGCAAGAACTTTAGTTTTATTAAAAAGAGGCTTACAATGGTGTCATAAAATAGAGTATTTCTAATTATAATGGGCATGGAGAAAAACACAGGAACTATATGACACACAGATAAAATCAGATTTTCAAAAATCTTTAACCAGATTTTCCACATAGTTTCATTACCTTTTTAAGAGATTGAGAATATTTTAAGTTTCAGTTTAAAATTGTTCATGCCAACACTGGTGTGTATTCAATAGCGGACATACACTGTCCCACACTTCCATTGCTTTAGAATTCTTGTATTATGATTTTGTCTCATAAAGGTTCATAAATATTCAGTTTTATTAAATTTTATATAACTTTTAAAGAGTGGAATTTAAAATAACAGCAAATAGCAGTCCATTTTATGGAAAGGGAAAGATTCCAAACCACCTTAAAAAAGGGGGCGGGGGGGAAGAACAGCATTTGGAGAGAGAAACTGTGTCATTAAAAAGACGCTGAGAGAGATTACAGCTGCATATTTGGTTAGTTATTATGGCTCTTTACAGTCTTCCAAAGGGAAAACTTTGGCCATGAAGAATTAAATCTGAGACTAAATATTTCATGTAGTGGCTTGGACAGCAGACATAAAAATCTACATATACATTAGTTCATTATAGCTTTGACTGTCAACATCATATTCCTTGCCTTCCAAGTATTAGGAACTAGAGGCGTCACTGGCAAATACCATCTACATTAAGAGTCTTGGAAGCTGAACTTCCAATGAGCTTTCTGGGGTGTCATACAGTAACAACTCCAATATGTAATTCCTATTCATGAAACAATAGCCATTTCATTAAATTCTATACAATTACACAAAAATCGTTTTCACAAAGAAACTGCTGCTTCTGATAATTATTATAGAGAGCTAGGGAAATCTGACTGGTAGTCAGCTTCAAGGGACAGTTGTCCCATTGCTTTTTATGGTACAAATACAAAGAAATTCCAGAAAAAAATAATTTTGGCATGATCTCACCAATTTAATAGAAATGCCAAGGCATGTACAATGCAGAGGGAGATTTCTCCACAAGGGGATACCCCCAGATCAATCAAGGTGACTCTATACGCATGTGTCTGATTCCAAAATTGGTCAGCACCTTTGCACAGCACTGCAGCATACTAATCTATAACACATCCGTTTGTAGCCTCAGTGTCTCAAGTATGGCACACAAAGATATGGCTATACTCTGCAATGGCCTTACAAGAAACAGCTCCAAGGAGAATGTACATTTAGAATCACAGCATAGAATCATTAAGGTTGGAAAAGAATTCCAGGATCAAGTCAACTTTTGACCAAACACTACGAGGTCAACCAAACCACAGCACTATATGCTGCATCCAGGAATTTCTTGAACACTTCCAGGGATAGTTACTCCACCACTTCCCTGGGCAACCCATTCCAATGCTTAACAATCCTTTCAGGGAAAAATTTCTTCCTCGTGTCCAACCTGAACCTCCTCTGGTGCAGCTTGAGATGATTTCCTCTTTTCCTGTCACTGGTTGCCTGGGAGAAGAGGCTGACCCCCACCTGGCTACAAACTCCTTTCAGGTAGTTGTAGAGCCTGAGCCTCCTCTTCTCCAGACTAAACAATCCCACAGCTCCCTCAGCCACTCCTCATAGGACTTGTGCTCCAGCTCTGTTGCCCTTCTCTGGACTCACTGCAGCACCTCAATGTCTTGTAGTGAGGGGCCCAGAGCCAGATGCAGTACTCAGAGGTGCGGCCTCACCAGTGCTGAGTACAGGGAGAAAATCACTTCCCTGGTCCTGCTGGCCACACTATTGCTGATACAAGTCAGGATGCCATTGGCCTTCTCGGCCACCTGGGCACACTGCTGGCTCATGTTCAGCTGCTGTCAACCAGCACCCCAAGGTCCTTTTTCACTAAACAGCTTTCCAGCCACTTTTCCCCAGGCCTGTAGTGCTGTGTGGGTTGTTGTGACCCAAGTGCAGGACCCAGCACTCGGCCTTGTTAAACCTCATACCCATCAATGGGCCCTCAGCCCATTGATCCAGACTGTCCAGATCCCTGTGCAGAGGGTAGGATCTGCCCTCCAGCAGATCAACACTCCCACCCAACTTGATGTCATCTGCAAACTGACTGAGGTTGAACTTGATCCCTTCATCCAGATTCTGGATAAAGATATTAAACAAGACTGGCCCCAGTACTGATCCCTGAGGAACACCACTGCTGACTGGCTGCCAACTGGATGTAACTCTATTCACCATCACTCTCTGGGTTCAGCCATCTGGACAGTTTTTAACCCAATGAAGAGTGCACCTGTCCAAGCCACAGGGTGCCAACTTCTCCAGAAAAATGTTGTGGGAGCCAGTATCAAAGGCTTTACTGAATTCCAGGTAGACAACATCCTCAGCCTTTCCCTAATCCACTAGGCTGGTCATCTGGTCACAAAAAGAGATCAGTTTGGTCAAGTAGGACTTACCCTTCCTAAAGCTATGGTGGCTGGGCCTGAGCCCCTGGTTGTCCTGTACGTGTTAAGAGATGGCACTAAGATGATCTGCTCCATGACCTTCCCTGGCTCTGAGGACAGACTGACAGACCTGTAGTTTGCCAGATCCTCCTTCTGACACTCCTTGCAGATGGCCACCACATTGGCTCACCTCCAGTCTTCCAGGACCTTCCTGATTAAGCATGATAAATGACGGAGAGTGGCTTGGTGAGCTCATCCACTGGCTCCCTCAGCACCCTCAGGTGGATCCCATCTGAACCCATAGACTTCTGAGTGTCTAAGTGGCACAGCACCTCACTAACTACTTCCCCTGGATTGCAGGGGGTCTATTCTGCTCCCCATCCCTGTCTACCAGCTCTGGGGAATGGCTGCCCTGAGGATAACCAGTCTTTCTGTTAAAGACTGAGGCACCAAGTACCTCAGCCTTTTCCTTACCCTTGTTACAGTACTTCCCTTCACATCCAATGAAGGATGGAGATTTTCCTTGGCCCTCTTTTTGTTATTAAAGTATTTATAAAAACATTTTGTATTATCTCTCACAGCCGTGGCCACATTGAGTTCTAGCTGAGCTTTCATCCTTCTAATCTCTCTAAATGACCTAATGACAGCCTTGTACTCTTCCTGACTTGCCTGCCCCTTCTTCCCAAGGTCATAAACTCTTTTTTTTTTTTCTGAGTTCCAGAAAAAGCTCCCTATCCAGCCAGGCCAGTCTTCTTACCCGACAGCTCATCTTTCAGCACACAGGGATGGTCTGCTGCTGTATCTTTAAGATTTCCTTCTTAAGGTATGCCCAGCCTTCCTGGACCCCTTTTACACGGCACTGTGCAGTCCACATAAATATACTACCTTGGAGCCCCCCAGAAATTAACTCTGTTGCACCACATTGCGGAGAGACTAGTTCAGAATGAGATAGGTTTGGAAGAGAAAGCAAAAACACCATGCTATTGTGGATCTCACTCCCAGATCTGCATCAGTTCAGGTTTATGTCTTCACACCACTGCACAGCAAGGTGCAATATAGCTAAAAATACAGTCATGGCATGGTACAAAATAGTAAAAATGGAATACGAAATTGAGGTGTAGGTGTTACAGGAGAAAAACAGCAAGAGGAAAGAAAAAAATCATACTTCATCTCCATAAGAAGCTCAGCCCTGTCATCACACATATCATCACCATTTCTCCTGACATACACCATAAGCACTGAAGTATCTAACAGCTTCCTTTTTCTCTGCTTTGCCCTTTTTTTGTCATTTGTCCTTGAAAGCACCCTCTGGTAACGCTGGCATTGAGAAGTTTCTCAGAATGTCAACATCAAGGAACAAAGATTTTTATGAAATCAGAGAGCAATGACTCCTATGAAGACAGGTTGAGAGACTTGGGGTTGTACAGCCTTGGGAAGAGAAAGCTTCCAGGGAGACCTCAGAACTGCCTTCCAGTGCCTAAAGGGGGTCCTACAAGACAGCTGGAGTGGGATTTTTTTACATGGGCATAGACAACAGGACAAAGGCAAATGGGTTCAAACAGAAAGAGATTAGATTAAATAATGTTTAGATGAAACATTATGAAGAAATTCTTTACGGTGAAGGTGGTTAAACACTGGATCAGATTGCCCAGAGCAGTTGTGGATGTCCCATGCCTGGAAGTGTTCACAGCCAGGTTGGATGGGGCTTTGAGCAACCTGGTCTGGTGGAAGGTGTCCCTACCCATGGCAGAGGGAAAGGAAATAGATGGTCTTTAAGGTCCCTTCCAATCCCAACCATTCTATGCTTCTTTGAGTGCTGCTACATAATGATTTCCACTGTTCCTCTAAAATAATTTGAACTTTACAGAGGAGTAAGAGCCTCATCATCAGCCTCTAATATATAACGTCATACGCTGTTCGGGGTTTTCTTCAGTCTTATAAATTTTGTGTGTATGTGTGTTTGGTTGTTGTTTTTTTTAATCTAAGAGAACTGTTTTGGAAAGAGATCAGTAATTTATCCACAGTGCCTCTTCATCTCAGAATCCACACTAGTGAATTTGAAGATAAAACTATACAAAGACATAAAATGTGTAAATTATTTCACTGTACTTTACCTAAAGCATAAGCACAAAAAGTGGTAAAAGCACTGAAGAGCCACACCCAGGTGGGAACAAGTCCAGGACTGCTACCTGAAAGAAATGGGGTAGTAAGTCAGTGTAACAGTGGTTAACCTCAAAGAAATCCACCAACATATGCATATGTATAAAAACAAGTTGCCACTGACTAACCTACTGCATCAAACAGATTGAAATACTCGGTTTTGACCTTCAGGCATCACTGAGCTCTACTGAAGACGTATTGAGCAGGCTTAAATGTGTTTACACTGTAGAGGACAGAAGATAAGGGTTTTTGGTCCTGAAATTACTCTATTATTGCACAAAACAATGACAGTAACAAGATAAAAATTTTTACAGGTCACAGGAAGACTATCTGTCAACAAATTAGTTGATGTTTATGTAATATCTAGAAGCAAAAAAAAGGTATTTTTCAAGCAAGATTATTAGTGCCAGCCTGGGGTTTATGTAGTACTTTTACCGTACAGATCTGAACAGGAAGTTGTTGTCCTCAGGCTAGGACAAATATTAGCACCTTTTTTTTTCCTTGAGAAAAAGGAAAAGAAAGTTGAATTGGACAGAGCCCAGGGTTCTGTTCTTGCTCTGCTGATAGCATTAACCCAAGGTTATTGTTGCTCTTTTAAAGAAATCAATCCTTTTTCCAAAGACTGTTCTATTTAACTCAAACATCATCCAATAAGTACTACACTAGCACTAAACAACTGTAAATGCCTCTCAGATTTCTGGCATTTGGCACCTAACACAGGGAATTCATGCATATAGAGGGGTTTCCTTGCCTGAATGATGCCAGGAGTTGCCAGCACCTAAAGCAGTGCCTTGACTACCTTTCTCAATGCCTCATTTTGCCATTCTGAAAGAAAAGATGGCAATTCCTGACTCCTAGCTGCAAATCTGCAAACTGTAGAATGAAAACCAGCTGTCCAGGAAATTAAGTCTTTTATTTCTGATCCTAGGTATGGGATTGATATATGATACTCAAAAGGCTTGTTAGGTTGCATGAATGTTTTCAATAAATTGAGAAATGATGGGCACTGTTCTCATGTGAAATCGAGAAGAGGCTTGCAAACTACACATATAGGCCTCAACTCCAACAGACTTAATCACCATTTCAAATATCTTCAAGTTCCATGTACATCTACTGAGAATTTGTCAAGATAACATCATCCCATTAAAAAGATTTGTTCTGGATGCTCTTTTACAGAACTTAATATTAGCTGCATTGATTAAAAAAAACCCAAGTGTTTAAGAATGAGGCCACACAATATATAACAAGCTGGCCCTGAAAACATAATGCTCATACAGGATTACTTTTGAACTAAAACTGCTAACAAGTATCTCTGCCTCTAGAATTATTACCATAAATGTACAAACAGCCCACACCAAAGGGTACCTCTTGAATCTAAACACAGGCATAAAAAAAAAAAAAGACTGCAAAACATAGCTGTTTCAGGAAATAAAACTGTTGCCTTCACTAAATTGTCTAAAGAAAACTAAAGCTTTTCATATATTTATATATATATAGATGTTTTATATATTAAACACCTTACAGAAGATGCTTACTACTTTTTGTAGGCTCCAACAACTGGTCTGAGAAGCCCAGAACTAAACATGCCCTACACTCAGGAGCAATCAGCCAAAAAGCTTCTGACTTGGTCTACCACGAAGAGCAAATACGGACTCAGACTCAGAGAGTCGCAATTTGAAGCAACATTTATTTAGAAACTATGTCTTCTTTGTCTAGAAGCAGTTTTGAATTGGGGGTGTGTGTATAGTAATGAAAGAGAAAATAACTTGTTGAGGTATCAATTTAGGTATTAGGAAATGTGAAACCAATGAAAACTTTATGAAGAACATTTGGGTGTTTTTGTCTGTGCATTTAAATCCTGGAATAAACTTTAAATAAAATGAGATATTATCATAGGCTGCAAGCAGCATATGCTGAAACCTATTTTAGGGATAAAATTAAATAATATTTTTCAATTAAATGTTCTTAATTTTTAAGGCCATATGTGAGGTCAGATCCTCCTATTGTGCTCATGGAGTGTCATGAAGGGAATGAGTGGAAGATTCAAGTGTCTGATCCCTCCCTATAACATTCAGAAGTACAAGCAGCTCACTAATTCTAAAAAATTACAACATGAGGATTTTTACCTGAGGCAGTGTAGTCCCAGTCATAAAAAGATATTAGAAAATAATTAAATAAAATCATGACAAATCCAGAGAATGTTAACAGGTTGGGAGCAATCCACAGAGGCACTATCTGTTAAAAAAGAAAGAAAAAAATTTCAGAAAAATTGTACATCCTATTTTAATTAAATATTTTATATCAGGAAAGAAGCCTTTATATGGCATCAGCAATGTTCAGATTTGTGCATATTTCACCATTTTCAAATTAAAATACCATTTTTATTTCTGAAATTTATTTTCAAATTCAATCCTTTTGCCTGACCTTTGTGACTGCAGTAAAAATGACATTTTAAAACAGTGTATTCCCTATGTTGTACGTTATCCTTATTTATCCAATCATCAAGGAAAACTTCCTGCAATCATCTGAATCAGAACTGAAAGAAGACTGCAGCACCCCAGTGTGGTAATTCAGCATCCACGTGGTAGGGTTTTTTAAGCATTCTATTCCCACACTATAAAAAGGAAATTTCCTTTTCTAAAATATGTCAATAATTTCTAACTCAAAACATCCACAAAATCATACCCCAAGTGCATTACACTTTTAGATTCAGAAGATCTCTCCATTACAAGCAGCTCCCTACTTCTCTAGATAGTAATGTACTGCTAGGGTCTCCTTCTTTACTTATAAATTATAAACACTCCATTAATTGATTTTACTTTGTAGGGTGCTGAAAAGGATTCTGTCTTCACCTAAACCTCTAATTCTTTATCCCAGTAACCACCCTCAGCTATTCACACCCTGCAGCTTTAAGGTGCTCCTTACACTACAACAGGGATCTCGTTTGGTAACACTCTTTCCAAGTAACACAGTTTCTCCAGCATATTTTTTTGAAATAGCACACACAGCTTTCTACATGATTTTTAGACAGAACATACTTGCAGAAACACTAAGTATCAAATAGCATCACTCACACTATCAATATATTCAAAATACAAAAATATTGGAGGCTTATAATCAAATTCTTTGGAGTGCCTAAGGACTGAAAATATATCTAAAGTACTTTTACAGTACAAATTATGATGACAATACTAAAGAATAGGAAGTCAAATAATTTCAGATACTAATAACAGTTTTGAAATAAAATGATTTGTTAGTTTCTCTGGACTAGCTAGATGGACAGACAGATGAATACATATGAATTTGTATACACCTTTACATTTCCTCTATCCTATTACTACATGAAAAATTTACTTTTAAAATTTGAATGCTTGAATGATTAATTATTCTGACTAGATCCTCTTTTCCTACTGTAGAACAATTTATAATACTCAAGAGGAATTGTGCAACTGATAGTGTACAGTCTAAAGTGTAAACTTTCAAAAAATCAGATTAAAATTCCTGAATACTTTTCTGTTATGTTTTTTAGATGTTTTCTGTAATAGCATTAGTAGTAACTATCATATCTGAAAGTTTCTTTCTTTATCACCAGGATTTTATCACTAATTTTAAAACACTGTATGTCAGCTCTCATAGTATTTAAAATACATCACGGAATGCATGCAACTACACTAAAAAAAAATTTAACATTTCTATAATCCTGAGTGTTTAAAAGCCCAAATCTAAACCTCTAAGAAAAGGGACAGCAAATGTCCCCTGAAGTTCCTTTTGGAGAACACCTAGGGTAGAACCCTTCACTGCACAGTCCCCTTTTCTTATATTGACTGCATGCTCAGCATGCAGCAACAGCAGCATGTTCTCCCCATTTTGCTACCTGAGGATGCAGAAAATGAATCTCCTGCTGGGGAATTTATCTGATGTCTGTGACCATAATTATATGAAACATGAACGACAAACACTAAAAAAATTCTAGATTTGTCTCTTTTAGTCTGAACTGTGGACCAAAATAGTGTGTTAAGACACCATGGATGAACCGTTTACGTGGACATACAGACACCATCCAATGTATTGTTTTAAAATGACTGACTTCTCCTGCACCATTCATAAGAATTGTTGACTGTTAAATCAAGTGGGGCACCACAATCATCTGCTTTCTAATTAGGCTCATTATTCTAAACAGTCACAATGTCATTATTAAATTATTACAGAAAATAATTCAAGCTTACACAGTGCAAACATGAAGAAGTTATTTTAACCCACTTTCTTGCTAACAGCATGTATTCTAAGAAGAAAACCTTCAAAGGATGTTGTTATACTTGCAATCCCTCTGGCTAACAGACACACCATGAAAAACAGTTACAGGAGTTCTGTCCTCAGGAAAACAGACTCTCCTGCAGCTAAACCCCTAAGCATGTTCTTTTGATCCCTACCGAACCTAATCTGTCTAGGTATTTGGAAAGTATTCCAACTGCAAAATCCCTTTTGTTACATTTAACGCCCCTTATCCTTTTGGTTGGCCTTACACTACCATCACCTTATTTCATAATTTAAAAAATCACAGAGTGTTCAAGATTAACTTCTTACACACCTTGGAGAAATAGAGTCTGAATTTATGGAAGGATACATTGCAAACTTTATTATCTAATTAACAGACAGTAGAATTCTAATATACCAATGTGTTACATGATTAATACAACTGAAGGTACCATAGGGAGAATCACATCTGTTCTCCGGCAAAACTTTTGTACGCTTAAACCTTTTAAAAAACTTTTAGTTCCACAAAACACTAAATGATTTCTGTTCCACCAGGTCTACAGCCACTCATTCGAAAAGCCCTAATACAAACAGCAAATCCTTTAATATATCAACTATTTGGATTATAAATGGTAAAGTACATTTATATAAAGTTCTGTTCAAACTTCACTAAGTCACTTGAGACCACTAAAATTCTACTCTTGGCCAATTCTAGTGATAAAATCAAAGTTCATAAAGGCAACAGAGGGGAGTTAAATTGATTTCAGTGAAGCTGGCATACACCGATGTATCCCACTGGGATTTCCTCCTTTTCCTCTCATTGTCCTGAACAGATGTGATTTCTTATGAACACAAATACAGGAGGAATATTCAGTTTGCGTAATAGCTAAATAATACTACTCATTATTTATTGGAGAGCACAAGATTGTGCTTCATTATAAAATACAAATCCCAATTAAAGGCAAATGCATGGAGCATTGAATTAAATGAAGATGAAATGCCTATAGTTGCATAATCAGCATAGTTTTAAATAACACATAGAGTCTTATCCTAGTGTCATATCCTGGCTTGTATCAGCAGTAGTGTAGCCAGCAGAACCAGAGCAGTGGTCTGTACTCGGCACTGGTGAGGCTGCACCTTGAATCCTGTGTTCAGTTCTGTGCTCCTCAGTACAAGAAGGGCATTGAGGTGCTGGAGCCTGTCCAGAGAAGGGCAATGGAGTTGGTGAAGACTCTGGAGCATAAGTCCTATGGAAAGCAGCTGAGTGGGCTGGGGTTGTTCCATCTGGAGAAAAGGCAGCTCAAAGGGGGACATTATCACTCTCTACAACTGCCTGAAAGGAAGTTGTAGCCAGGTGGGGGTCGGTCTCCTCTCCCAGGTAACAAGTGATAGGACACGATGAAACAGCCTCAAGTCACACGAGGGGAGGTAATGTTGGACATTAGGTAAAATTTCTTCACCAAAAAGGTTGTTGAGCATTGGAACAGGATGACCAGGGAAGTGGTGAACTCACCATCCCTGAAGATATTTAAAATACATGCAGATATGGCACTTGGGGACATGGTTTAGTGGTGGAATTGGCAGTGTTGGGTAAACAGTTGGACTAGATGATCTTAAAGGTAATTTTCAACCTAAATGATTCTATGGTTCTATGATTCATACAGTTGTTACTATAGTTTCATACAACATGGAAAAACTGCCATGAACATGAGTTTGTTTTCTACATCACGGGATATTATAGTCTAGGACACGGTCATAGATCAGCTATAATGCTTACAATAGGTACAAGCTACCAAAAAAAAAAAAAAAAGTATTCAAAACTTCTCCTAAAACTAAGATATAATTTATTAAGATAACACTGGTGTACTTGCACTTCAAGAGAAAATAGTATTTTGGTGCTCAGACGAGCAGAATTTTCTTGAACTGAGTTTGGAGTAACAGTTACTGCCACATTTGGTTTCAGTATCTAGCCAGGAATAAAAACATTATAGCAACAATTTTGGTGCTCTCCCAGTTCTCATTTTTATCTCTAAGAGCAATCTCCATCACATACTCTTTTCTTCTGCTGCTGTGCATTGCCAGTTCCTCTGCAGGACTCCGATTCTACATAGCACTATCTTCTAACATTAGAATGACTACTTCTACAAAAGCTGAAAGCAATATAGTTTCCCTTTAAATCCTTGCAACACATCACTGAGAATTATTCTGTAACACTATTGCACCAGAAGGCAAGGTAGAACATTCAGTGTTGTATCTTCAGTATTCAAACCAAAAGGCAAAGTACAGACAGCACCCACCCCAGTCTTTGGTTCCATACTCAGATCTCCCAACTTTTGAAACAGGTTTTCAGTCCATCGCTCTGGTTGGGTTCTCCTTCAGAGAGGAGAGAACTAAATCATGCTCATCTAAAACTCAATGAGGTTTAAAAAAATCTAAAGGTCACATTTTTTATGGGTTTTATCACCTTATACTACATGGGGACATTCAAGAATGCTGTTTTTCCTCTCGTAGAATGCTGTAACCGTTAGAAGAACTTATCTCCAAAGGAAGTTTTGCATTGCAATACACCCCCTTCAATCTGAGAGCAGATGAATACCCATGGATTTCCTAAACCAAAGTGCAAGTGCACAGTAAAGCCTCTGCTCATCTCCTGTGCCAGACTGCAGAGTGCTGGAGGGGCTTTTCTGCCTCATTGTTTTCCTCAATAGTATGATGGGAATGAAAACAGAGTCTCTGAACTGAATTACTGAATTCAGTGTCACATCTTTGAATTGCTTTTTACTCATACATGTTTGGGTTAGTTTTTAATTCTTAAGTTAGGACATATAAACACTTTTCATTAAATTATCTTGAGATTACAAATGAGAGACTATGATTTTCCTGCTGTATTAAGAATAAGAAACACCTTTATTACAGAATCCAGAGATGGCAGATCCAACAGCACTCTGACCACATACATCCATTTTTGTTAGTACAAAGCTTTATTTTCAAGTCTGCTCCAATCTAAATATTTCCTGTAACAAGGCAGATGCCGAAATCATTCCTTTCTTGGAGATCAATAAAGTTACTATATTTATTTGAGATAAAGAGCTTTTTTTTTTTTTGCCAACAACAGCACAACTAATTGTGAGCAGTTTATTTTTAGAAACTGCAGATCATAACACATTCAAGAGATGGCATCTTCCAATCGTTATGGTTATCATGGTAACTGCTCTCATTTTCAGCTTCTTAAAGAAATGCCTTGCTCCCTCGAGCAAGTACCCTTGGGAGAAAATGAGACAGCACTTGCATAAAATCATATGCACGGCACAGAGATAAAGCCATGCTGTTGTTAGGCAGCATATGCTGCACAAAAATAATTTGTAGTAAATAAACCCCTCCATGCCTGCAAAGCTGTTTAATGAAAGATGTAATAATGAAAGATGTAAAAAAGAAATGGATGCCTTTTCTATAGCAATCAGAAAAAAATAAGTAAACCTTTTTTTTCTAAAAAAAAATAAAATCTCAAAATAACATACTCATGTAAACACGTGAGTAGAGCCCTTCCCAAATCTTCGTTCATGAAGCCTAGCCATGATAAACAGGTATTCATCTTGCAACATTTGTTTTCTTTTATCAGATGCCCTAATTTCAGTTTTATTAATCAATATTTTTAAATGAAAATACATGATGTATTTAAAACAAATTCTTATATTAACATGTGAAGTTTTTATTAAGTAAAATTCTTACCTTAATAATTTTGTTCCAGATGGGTTGCATAATATACACAGATAAAGGATTTGTATCCACAGCACTGTACTGTGAGGAAAAAGCAAACATGTTAAACAAAGCACTGAACAATGCTTATTTTTTCAGCATCTAAGAGCAATCACTCTGAGTGTGACTGGTGTAAATTTATTTTGTTCTGAGGACCATTCATACAGGTTTAATTTAATTTAAAAGCACTGGCCTGGTTTACACTTACCCTATTAGCAATCCCATGTACTAACACAAAGGTTTAGGCTTGTGAACTGGCAAACAGCTCTGCAGTCACATTTTACTGCTAAATTCCTATTAATTTTACAAGTTATCCTATAAGAGTCTGCATTTCTACCATATTTTGAATTTATTTACTTGCACTACCACTCATACACAGTCTGAGCAGTGGTTTCTTGCTAGTATTAGGATAGATAGTGGATATGGAATATGTTCATAAGTAGAATATTATCTTGCAGAGATACAAAGCTTTTGTCATAGTAACACAGTTGCATTTGCACTATGCTAATTCATGTAAGGCAATGTTATTATAAAAATAAGCCTAAAATAGCACAGTCCATTACCACAATAAAATTTTCCCATTGCGCAGACTTGTAAATATATATTTTATGTGTTTTATAATTCCAACAGGTATATATCTGTACCTTTGCAAACAAAATATTTCAGAAATCCAACCCCACCCCAAATTGCTGGTGTCTGCTTTTTCCTCAGAAGGCAGTATCAAGTTTTATCCTGCCTTGAGGCTGCAGAACACAGAATCAGAACCCCCAGAAGAATGATCTTAACTGACAATACCACTCGCAATCATGTTCTTGAGCCCCGGCAGGTCTGCAGTTGAAGAAGTTATCCATCATTGGGGTAAAACACATAATTATTTCAGAAATTCTAGGACTTTGAAAGTGCATATGTTGCTTAAGGTTGTTAGCATGATGCATATGACACATAAATCTTCAGATATATCTATATATACCATTGTCCAAACATCGTGTGCAGACAATGGGAACAAAATAGGGATGTGTTAGACCACAGGTTGACAAAGTTGTTCACATGCAGAAGAGCTGATGACAAAGAGTCTTTCGTTTCACATACCTCCAGCTAACATTTAACTGTTCTCTACATACATAGTTAATTTATTGACCTCTCTTAGCCAACTACCCTTTGGATAAGATTGCCCTCCAGAAGTACCTGTTTCAAGTCATTAATTATCAAAGCAGCCTAGACACTTGTCTTAAACTTAAGACACCTTTTAGGTGACTGAAGTCTAGCAAGATTCATTTCAGTTTCAGTATCCCTATCTCCAAGCTTTTCCATATCCACCTAACTTGCACACATGGGAGCTAAGAGCTTCCAGTGGACAAGTGCAAGTGGGACAAAAGATTCATGAAGCATGCCTCAGGTTTTGCGTGCACAGTCTATGACTTTGCATCTCATCTTTCTGAGGGTATCGGCCTATGGAATGCTTAGGAACTCTTCCATACATTTCCTTTTTCTATGCATACAAAGGATATGTTTTAATTACCTTATGGAGAAAACAAAGTATTCAGATAATTATTTTGTGATTCGTGGTTAAGTTTAAATCATGACCATAAAGACAGCATTCTTGTAAATTTATTTTAATACCCTGCTTTGTTCTGCTCCCAAGAAGCTGCTAACCTCAAGGCCATGAAATCCTCAGGAGTTTAATGTTCATGTCTGCTCAGAAAAGCAAAGTACTGAGTAACATGCTCACGTTATGATCAGTGAACATGAATGCAAGAGTGCACTGAACCTTATGTAAAAACAGTACTGCCATTTGCTATTGTGTAATTCTGTCCTTTTCGGGGCACTTTTAGTAAAAGGCAGAAGTGGAAGAGGATAAGTCTGTTAGAGCTTTTTAAGTGCAAGATTGATACAAGTACTAAGCATTTCTGCCCTAGAAAAGGGAACTTGATTGTCCTTATACAAAGAAGAAGGACATGGAATAATCAGAAAGTTTCTGTCAATTACATTTGAAAGAAATTGTAATAGTTGGGAGGGAACAGCAGGAGTGAGGGAATAGGAAAAATGGCATTAATTGACTCCATCTTACTCCCAAGTTTAAAAATTCTTCTGTTGGGTTGTTTTTTGTTTTGTTTTGTTTTGTTGTTGTTGTTTTTTGGGTTTTTTTTGTTTTGCAGTTTTTTCTTAATAGCTAAAACCTCCTTGAAAGCCATCTGCTTTCCCTCGTGGTGTTAATAATGTCTTCTAGCAGAGCTGGAAATGAGAATACAGACACCAGATGGGTACACATGGATGTTGATTCGAGCAGCACATGTGAGATGTGCTTTTTACTCTGTGTTCCTGCATTTTAATCTCCATCCAGGGGATCCAATGCAGCATCAAGTTTGTACTGGTCAGCTCTGTCAGAGTAGAGAGGAAACATGAGAATATCAGGAGGAAGAGGGGAAAAAAAGGAATAAACAGTTAAGAAAAGTAAGAGTAAGGAAAGAAAAGTAATTGAGAAAAACAAGAGAAAGAAAAATGAGCCAAAGCAAAAGTTTGGCTACACAGAAGAAAGACAACCATTCTGCAGTGGCAGAGCAGAGCCAAACATCTGAGGGCAAAAGCACTCACAGTGACCAAGGTCTGTACTGCTGAATATAAATGGTACCTTCTGACTTACATCCACACAGCTTAGAAATACCTCCCCTTATTTCAAACTGGTCACATCCACACCGCACAGCATGTGCTGGACGGGTGTTCGACCTCCTCATCTGGCCCTGCACACCTAACACATTATTTGGACTGAATACACTTTACTTCAAAGTATCTGAAGCAATCTGGAGACTGCATTGAAACCCAGCAACATGGCATGTTCAGAGCATGGAAGTGAGCACTGTGTGTTGCACATGTTCACAAATCCAAACACCCATGCTGGAAGAGTGCTGAAGGACGGTGAAAGCCAAAAATGGTGTGCACTGCCTCCAGAATGGACTATTCCCAAAACAAAGCCTAGTTATTATCTTGAGGAGACTTTGGAGAAAAAAACAAAGCAGAAGAACGGTTAGTGAGCTAACCATTAATCAGAGCAGACAGCTGGATCTTCATTGGACTCCCTAGTCCTCTCCAGCCTTGCACTGTGGAGGTATCCCAAGAATAAAATTTTGGAATTACTACAAGAGAAAAATATAAAGCATGTCTACACAAACTTCAGAGTCAGGAGAGAAAGCAAACCCCAAGAAATGTAGTTGCATAACTGCTAGGAGATAGTTACTTCAACTTAAATTGCTTCTTATGCTAACAGACTATTCTTTTCCTGTACTTAAATTATCTTTGCCCAGATAGCACCATATTGTGTCACACAGTCATATACATTCAAAGATACAAACTGTTGTGAATTGTTTATATTTGAACTGTTGGCATCAAAATGGCTCTGTAGGTTTTAGTTTTGTATTAGTAGCAACAAATTCACTACACTTCACATTCCTGCACAGAAAATAGCGAATTTTAATTTTTCATTGACTTCGTGAATCACATGATTTATTATCTCTGTTGTAAATGCTGGGAGACTGAGGCACATGTGGGCTGTGATTCACCCTACGGCTGGAGAATAGAGCAAAGAATAGAGCCCCAGTAGTGTTAGTGGTGTCATATTTATATACATAATTTCAGGATAAGCAATATTGATTTATTCATACAAAGTCTGCTCACAGTAACTCAATTTTATATTTGTGTTGACTTCTACAAAAGCCTTTAAAAATGTAGAGGCTGAAAAGCTTCTTTCCCAGACAAATTAATGTTTAAATCAGCTATATATCAGGCAGTAATAATGGTTTAGGTTGCAGTATATCGAAATATATGGTTCTGTGATTGCTTGAGTATTTCATGTGAAGTTAGATGCCTATTATGGAAGAATACACTAGCTGTCCTGTTCCATGTTCCCACACGGAAAACCTGACAACCATCTAATGACAACATAAGGACTTGAATGAAGAACATAAATATTGGAAAACCTGTCCTTTTCCTGCAAGCAAACTCAGCTGGGGCAGGCACATGTATGGAAGAGCCACAGCTGTACCCATGTGCTGACGTCCTAACAACTCAGTGGTCCTGCAGGCCTGGGGAATCTCCTCTTATATCAAGCAGAGAATCAATACATCAAAAGGAAAAAAGGTAAAATTGTGGTCTTTAAACAAGTGATATATTGAAAATAACTCCTCTTCAGAGTGTTTTCCAAGATATGTGCATGATGGTGTATTTCAACAATGCCACTCGGACATCTAATGATCACTTCTCAAACACACATAAGTGATGAGCTTGTCATCATCTGGCCTATAAGCAGAGACCTACATCACTGATGGAAAATTTTGAGGGATCTGCTGATGGAAAAGATTTGAAAAATTGACTTCCACAGCATATAAAATTAAAAATTATTTCAGCAAGTGCTGAGGTTTTACAGTCTACCATGCATGGCTCAGCTACCCCTCCCAGGGCCAGCACAGCACAGATGGTCCCTTCCTTTAGTGCCCACGGGCAGAGGCTTCTGGTGCTGAAGGCAGTGACTGGGTCCCAGCCCTGGGAGCTTTTGGCTGTGATTATGGGACAGGACAGGCTGCCAGGCCCGCCTTGCCCTGCTGCCTTGGGGCTCCCACTGCCCCCAGCCATCATGGCATCGACAGCTACCAACACCTTCCTGTGGCTTCTTTTATCACCATCTCCTCTCCAATTACACAATTTCACAACACCTGTGTTTTCTAAATGACAGACAAGGGAATAGGAGGCACAACAATGGATTCTCTTTTGCACAAGATAAGTTTTTTTGTGGTTTTGAAAGCTGCAAAATGACCCTCCCAACCCAGGGAATGAACCAGTCACTACTTAAAGAGAGCTTGGTGGGAAATCACTCTTCTGGGCAACTTCTTATGCAACATGAACTTGAATTCTGTGGTATCTTACACTTCTGGAATCATAAAAAAATTAAAGAAAATACTGAAATACTGGCACATCTGGTAACAATTTTCCATCCATCTTTCAGATTCCTAGAATACATTAAACACATGGAGTTTAATTCTAGTTTACATATG